TAGCTTCCCTCCTTCCTCCTCTCCAAGAAGAGCCTCCAAGATGATTTTCAATGTGTGACAAGAGACTCTAGACTCCTCTCCAAAAAGTGTATCATATTCCTTATATAGGTAGGTCAAATACACCCTATGATGAGCTGTGGTCGTGCAAGGCATATTCTCTAATGATTGGGTGAAGGACGGAATAAATGAGCTGGACTTTAACTTTTTCTCGCTGGAGGAAGTTCGATCGATCGAACCTTAACTTGGATCGATCGAAGATGGGTTCGATCGATCGAACTGCATCTTGGATCGATCGAAGTGGTCTGACTCCTCCGGATAAGGACAAGGCTGAGATATTTCGAAGATATTTATGGGGAAAAGGACAAAAGTGGTTGGTAGGCGTACAGCTGTGGATAAGATCAATCATTTGAATAGGACAAAATAGGGTTCGATTGATCGAAGGCGATGTTGGATCGATCGAACTTAGAATTTCAGCAAAGGCCAAGGTTGGATCTATCGAGAAGTACTGTGATCGATCATAGATGTTCGATCGATCGAAGTCTAAGTTGGATCGATCGAACTTTTCAGCTGCACAACTTAATTCCTTTTTGCTCATTTCTTTCTCCACTTTGCTCCCTCTTTTGGTTTATCTCAGGATTGCTTCAATTAAGCTTTTATTTGGCTGAGTTAGCTCAATTTTGGGATTAGTGTCTGAAAATATAAATAACACGTAATAAGTCTAAAATGGCAAAGTAAGATAGATAAAGGTACTAGAATGCTTAAGTTTAACGGGTTTAAATGCGCACTTTTCAGTGCTCATCAGATTCATATTTATTTTATTGAAAAATTTGTAGGAGCATTGGATTGGGGTTTTCTAAATCATGTTCTATTGTTCTATTTCTTTAATTATATATAAAAATTGATACATTTTAATTTTTTTCTAGTTGATACTCACACATTATATCAGGATTAATGCTTTGTTCAATATGAAGGAAAGAAGAAGTGTGGAAATAATTCATAAAGGAATGAACAAACTTCCTTCATTTGGTAGAGATGATACAAGAAAAATAAAAGGTTAAATGCTCTTAGACCCCTTGAGGTTTGGGTTTATTGCTCTAAGATAAAACCTGAACAAAAATTGCTCTGAGACCCTCTTCAAGTCTGTTTAATTTGTCCTAACACCCCCTTATAAAATAAAATACCTAAATTACCCTTCATCCCAACTTTATCCCTCTGTCCACACATGCCTGATACTTTATTTTGACATATAAACGTTAAATTCAACAATTGTGCCAAATGTCCACCCAAAAACTCACAAAAATCTTAAATTATAACTATGTGTGTATGATATATACTTTAATTGGGCAAGTGCAGAAAATACCCCCTAAAGTATACTTCGTGTAATACTTTTACTCCTTATTTAAAAAAGTGTGCAAAAAATACCCCTAATCTTTTACATCGTGCAAAAATATCCCATTTGACATAAATTAGTATTATAATACCCGTTTTGCCTTTTTACTCTTCCGAAAATGCCCAAGGGAGTATATATGCTATTAATCTCATAGTATAGGGGGGTTATGTGCACATTACCTTATATATATATATATATATATATATATATATATATATATATATATATATATATATATATATTGAAACTTTTTTCTCTAAATATTTTATTTTTAAACTTTGCGAATTTAAAAAACAAGTATTTGAATTTTTTGAGATTCCAGTTTATTTTTTTCCACTAATTTTTTTTTCTTCTTTATTTTATTATTTTCCAACCAACACTATTAAACCAAAAAAAAAAAAAAATCCTAATATCAATGTGCACTGGTTTTCGGAGTTTGGAAATTTTTTGTTTTCTTTAGTTTGCACTTTATTATTGTTTTTTATTTTTTTATTTTTATCTTTACTTTTCTTTTATACTTTTATTTTTATTTTATATTTTTATATTTACTTGTCCATTGCTGACGTCCTCCAATAGTGTCATTTTATAAAATTATTTATTTTTATATATTTTATAAAATTGTTCCATAAGGGTAATTTAGTCAACTTAGGGTTTAGATTTATCATAGAGACCTATTTGCACCCGATTAAAACTTTATGGATGTTTTTGTGCACGAGTGAGGCATCCTCTAATAGTATCTTTTTCAGTCACTTTACAAAATTATTTATTTTTATATATTTTATAAAATGATTCAAATCTAGTCAACTTAGGGTTTAAATTTGTTAGAATGACCTACTTGCACCAAATTAAAACTTTAAGGATGTTTTTTGTACGTAAAAAGTGTGACATGCACTATAAACATACTTTAAGAATATTTTCAACTTGACACCTACTTTAATTTGACATAGCTAAAATAAGATGCACAACTTTCTTATTATATTCTTTACTTTTCTTTCATCTATATTTTATACTTTTGTGTCATTGCAATCAAATTTCATTCATAAAAAACAGAAATCATATATCAATTAAAATTATAATATAATAGTAAAATATAGATCAAGATGTCGCTTTCAGTCCATACCAGATCTAAACCATGAAACAAAGGCAAGTATACATAAATTAAATATAAATACATGCACACACATATACGGACTAAGAGAGAGAGATAACTACCCGTGATTGGGCTAGAAGATTAGTTGACTTGCCAAAGTAGAAAGGAGTGTAGAAGCGGTGGAAATTGAATGAAATTAGGTTCTTGGTTCAATTTTCGTAAAACAAATAGAGGTGGGTAGAGAGAAGGTGGGGATGGAGGGTATTTTAGATAATTTATTTTATAAGTGGGTGTCAAGATAAATTAAACCAAACTTGAAGGAAGTGTCAGAGTAAATTTTGCTTAGGTTTAATATGAGAGCAATAAAACCAAAACTCAAGGAGTGTCGGAGTATTTAACCCAAAAAATAAATGACAATGGGAAGGACGAATCATCATTTATTCTCTGCAAATTTTCATTTATCGAAAAATGGGCAAAAGAGAAGGAAAGACAAATGGGCAATTATAGAATTTTCAAATTAAATATTATTTTAAATTGTACAAGTTTTAAATTACAAAATTATAGATATTTATTGGATATAATGGTAAAAAATAATTTAAAACTTTATTTTTCCTTCTCTCGTAACGAATATAATAAATTGTGAACTTATTCTGTTATCTTCCATACAACCGAACAAAAACAAAGAAAAAACACAATATCTTCCCTATGACGTCTCATCCATTCATTCTTTTTTCCATTCCATCCAAAATTTTTCTTTGAACATAAGTGACTTATCACTTGAGTCAACTTATTGAGGTTAATTTGTACTCATTTTATTTAGGGTCAAGTGCATAAAATACTCCTAAAGTATGATTACAGTGCATATTACACTACTCACATGCAAAAAACATTTCTAAAGTTTCAATTTTGTGCAAATAGGTTCCTATGACAAATTTAAAGTCCAAGTTGACTAAATTACCCTTACCGAACTATTTTATCAAATATATAAAAGTAAATAATTTTGTAAAATAGCTGGAAAGGACACGATTGAAGGACGGCCTTGACGTGTAAAAAAACATCCATAAAGTTTTAATTTGGTGCAAATAAGTCCATGACAAATTTAAACCTTAAGTTGACTAAATTACTCTTATTGAACTATTTTATAAAATATACAAAAATATATAATTTTGTAAAATGACCGAAAATGATACTATTGGAATATGATAATAATGAACAAGTAAAGATAAAAATAAAAATTTAAAAGAAACTAAAAATAAAAATAAAAAATTTTCTTTTCTTTTACTTATCAAAAATAAAAAATAAAAATAAAATATAAATTAAAGAAAATAAAATCTATTCAAAATTCCAAAAACAAGTGCGCAACTCGCGACACAGCCATAACATTCTTAGGCGACTGTGTCAGTGCTTTCAAAGCTGTGTCAAAACCGTTGAAGTCCTTCTCCACTTTTAGCTAGCAAGCAGAAAAGGGCCCAAAAAAAAAAAAAAAAAAAAAAAAAAAAAAAAAAAAAAAAAACCATTGAAGTCCTTCTCCACTTTTCACTAGTAAGAAGAAGAAGAAAATAATAATAATAATAAAAACCAATATATTGGTTACTTTTTCCGGAAAATGTTGCTGGTTTTAGAATTGTTAGAAACTAAGGTCAACTTCTCAACCCCATCCGTCAAAATTAAAATCGTGGGTTCATCATTATTTAATTTTTATTCAGATACAAACAAATTTTATTCAATTCTTCTCCTGAAACCCGTGTAAGCGGACAGATGTAAATGTCCTTTTCCCAAGATTTGGTCAAATTAGTTTTTGACAAAAATCTTAAACACTGAAAAACATTTCTTTGCCTTTTCTTATTTGAAAACTCGATGATATATGAGAAGTGTTTTTGAGTAATCAACTTCGTTTCGTCATTAACGATGAATAATTGTAGTATTTATTACCTTCTTTAAAAGTTTAAGCTAAAATGAAATTCTCCACTTCAAATAAAATGCAACTTAGAACAAATTAATATAAATATAATAATATTCATACTGACATATAAAAAAATTATATGAACATAAATAGTTTAAAAATGACCCACACAACCTAGTTGATATGGGTCAAAACTCGAGTAAAATTTGATCCTTTTATAATTTATTCAGATTCATATTCGGTCGTAAATAAAAATTCACATGTTTAGAAATAGAGAATTTAAATTTTTATCGTAAATTGGATTCTCCCAAATGCAATAATGTTTTAAATTCGGGTTTGAAATGAAGATCCAAAATGATTAAAATGGACTTCGATTAAATTCAGGTCAAATGCGCTCCAAGGACCACCTGCAAATTACTGTTGTGTGTGTGTGTGTGTGTGTGCGAGAGAGAGAGAGAGAGAGAGAGAGAGAGGAGGCTGGCTGTTTATAAAATACGAATTAAACAGGCAATAATAATACATTGAGGGAAGCTTCTACAGTCAATGTAATAAACCAAGCACAAGGACTCGAATTATGATGGAGACGAGAAATTAAATGCGAGGCCTTCTAAACAACCAGATTGAAAGAATACCAAAAGTCTTAAGCGGTTGAACAAAATCTGGAAAAGAGATCTGACGTCAATAACACCATTCATTTCTGTTTCTCTTCTTTCTTGGTTTCACGCCTTCTTCATAACCCAATCTCTCTCTCTCTCTCTCCAATTTTCATCTCTTCCCATCTGGGGTTGTCTTTACCCTTCTTCAATTCTCATTTGATATGCTTTTCTCGTTTGGGTTTTGCATTTTCTAGCTCTTTTACACACACCTCTGTCTCTGTTTTCAACCTTTTCCTCCTCTTACCACCTTGGGTTTCAGTTTTGTTTCAGTTCATTCTGTGTTCTCTTCAACAAAAATTTCACCTGGGTCTTTATTTTGATGTTTTCTACTAAAATTTATGTGGTTTCCATCTGGGTTTTCTTTTATTTGTGATAGAAATCTCTCTCCTCTCTCTCCTGCGTTTTCTTTGTTTGAAATTTCTTAATCTCTGATTTAATCTTATTTGTGTTAGAAATCTCTCTTTCTCCCTTTCCCTCTCTCCTGGATTTTCTTTTATTTGTGTTAGAATTCTCTCTCTCCCTCCGGGGTTTTCTTTTATTTGTGTTAGAAATCTCTCTCTCTCTCCATTATATGTTCAAACCAACAAATAATTGCTAATACTTCTTTTTGTCAACTCTGTTTCTGCCCTTTTCAATGAAGTGTTTCTATTACTTGAAGAACAGAGCCAGAAGTAGAGAACAAAGATCAGCACCGGAACTAAACAACCTGAGCAAATCCGATGTTTCGGCAGCTGATAGGGTGAGCAAGTCTTCATGTTCTGCATCTTCGCAGCGCGGCATTCCGGAATTGTATGAAGAGAAAGCTCAGAATTTGAGGGTCTTCTCATTCTCAGAGCTGAGGCAGGCAACAAATGATTTCAGTAGGCTGTTTAAGATTGGGGAAGGTGGATTTGGGACTGTTTATAAAGGTTCAATCAAGCCTGTTGATAAAAAAGGTGATCCAGTTATGGTTGCTGTTAAAAAGCTCAACAGAGATGGATTTCAGGTATGTATTTTGATTTTTGAGCGTGATATTATAAACTGATTTGGGGGTGATTTGATTATTGTGTTCTCAATCAAAATTATAGGTTTGCAATTTTTGGATGCTATGTGGAATCATGTTTGAATGACTTTGTTGTGTTTTCTATGTAATTCAGTAGAATGCTAAAGTTGCAATTATCTGATAAATTCGTGTAATGTTGATGCATAAACTTACGTGTTTCGATTTGTTACCTCTTTGAATAAGGTGAGGTTTAGGTCCATCAATGGCTTAAATATTTTTCTCTTTGACCTATCGCAATTTTAGTGCCAAAAAAAAAAAAAAAAACCTTTTTGTGTGCCATTTTTATTTGGTGATTGGCATGGTCAAATTTCATATTCTAGGACATGTTCTCTATGTTAAGAGAGTGATTTATTGGGGACAACTAGATTCTATGGCTTATTGGTAGGGATTGCAAAACGCCCCGCCCCACCGGGCTGAATCTTTTATTCCATTTTCGAAAGGCTATATACTACAGTTTAGTGTGGTTTTCTCATTCAGTTTACTTGTGGACAGATCATTCTGAACAGACCCTAGAAATTTAGCAGTTCTACATGTTCACGAGGGATTGTTTCCAAATAACTTAAGAATCTTGTGATTAAGTTCAGGAAGTACGCTGCTTCAAGTAGAATTTTGTTGCAACTGTATATCAAGATCGTTTAGATACCACCTAGAAATATATATGTATTTGGTTAGTGTGACCAAATTCACTTGTGTCTAATACTTTTATCTGATTCAACTTTATCCTTGGGGTGTCTTTCAGTCATAAAATTATGAAAAATCTTCTTGCTATTTATTTTTACTCTCATATCCTTCATGAATATTGGTCCCTTACCTTTTCATTTGATGCACTAAGCAGTCTGTTGTTTCTGAAAGCTAGTCACCTATACGATTCTCTGTTTTTGTTATGTAGGGTCATAAACAATGGGTAGCAGAAGTACAATTTCTTGGTGTTGTGGAGCACCCGAATCTTGTCAAACTTATCGGATACTGTGCTGCGGATGGAGAAAGAGGGATCCAGCGGCTGCTCGTATACGAATTTATGCCAAACAAGAGCTTGGAAGACCATCTTTTTAACAGGGCATACCCAAATCTTCCTTGGCAAACAAGGTTACAGATAGTGCTTGGAGCAGCTCAAGGACTGGCTTATTTGCATGAAGAACTAGAAGTCCAGGTTTCATTTTGATTTGAAATGAATAGTTTAGTAGTATTTGAATTATGTAAAAAATGTAATTATTGAACATAGAAGGCTAGAAGCTAATTGTTTATCGGCATTTATATCATCCACAACTGTAGTGCAGTCCTTAGGGTTTGCCATAATACCATTAAAAGAAAGTTCGCCATTCATAACTGTGATATTGGTTTTTATCTAAACCATGTTTTGTATTATTGTTGTTAACCTAATGTTAATGATTTTAATGGTTTAGGTGATATATCGTGATTTTAAATCATCAAATGTTCTCTTGGATGAGGATTTCAGACCAAAGCTTTCGGACTTTGGACTTGCCAGGGAGGGACCAACCGCTGGGCATACTCATGTGTCAACCGCAGTAAGTACAGTACTTATTTTCTTCGGGGGCTTCTGTAGGTTCTGCATTCTGCATTCAGCCTTAATTGTGACGAGTGGTGAACTAGGGATCTTTTGTAGAAACTAGAAAGGATTTAGAATTCGGGAATTAGTTCCGAATAAATTATGAAACCGTGTGAGAGTATAGCAATGCATACATGAGAAGACTTAAATTGCATGAGAAAAGGTGAACACATTTTTTGGTTCTAGGCTTATTATATGAATGTGAGATTTTAGAATGTCATTCTATACATGTACATATATTCCTATTAATTTGAAAATGATTGTGTGTTAGTGAATGACCACAGGAAATTGTTTTGAGTGACACAGGTTATGGGAACATATGGATATGCTGCTCCAGATTACATTCAAACAGGACATCTAACAACTAAGAGTGATGTATGGAGTTTTGGTGTGGTATTATATGAGGTCCTAACGGGCAGGCAGTCACTGGAAAGGAATCGACCGAAAACAGAGCAGAAACTTTTGGAATGGATAAAACAGTTCCCAATTGATGGTAAGAAATTTGTGATGATAATCGACCCGAGACTTGAAAAACAGTACCCTCTTCATGCAGCTAGAAGATTTGCCAAGTTAGCAGATAGCTGTTTAATGAAAAATGCAAAGGATCGGCCAAAGATGAGTGAGGTGGTCGAGAGCCTGAAGCAGATAATCCAAGTTACAGATGAAGAAAGCCTCTCTGAGAAAAGTTCCGAATGCAACGATGACACAATTGACTCAGACAAGAAGCCAGGTCAAATGGGAACCTCCGAATCTGTGAAAAGGCGGATGTCACATTTGGCTAAACTGAGCGAGCATGTCGGAGGAGTTAGTAGAAGACGATTTATGATCTTGCAGAGAGCAAAAGCGACTTAGATGATGTGGTTTTGCTGTGAAATTGGGGTTTTGTTTCTTTGGTAGATTAATGATTCTTTTGCAGGATCATCATGAAAGAGTACAGAAGGGGAGGTTAAAACTTTATTCAACTAAATTAAACTTGTCGAGGCTTAGGAAAATTGAACCTATTTTGGATGTTGTCAGGTTAGAGCAGTGTTCTGCCATTTGAAAATTTTTTTTTTTCGGGAAAAAAAAATGAAAAAGAAGAAGATAATGGCTTCTGTCAGGTACATGTAACGCAATGAGAGATCATATCATATGGCAGATATTTTTCAAAAAAAATTTTAAAAAAATTTCCCCCTTAAAAAAATAATAATAAAGAACTAGAAAGCATGCTGTTGTAGATTGCTATTTTCAATGAAAAGTGTAGAAATGTATGAAAAATTCTATGGAAAAAAATTGGTTTTGTTAATGGCTTTCTTGACATAAATTGTTGATGGTTTTTTGTTTGTTGGTGTTGGGCCTGTTGGCTCATGTTATAAAGCTCTTGCAGTCGCAATAATGGACTTTTAGGTCAATGTTGCCAATCTCAGCTATCCAAGATCTAGTACTATGGATTCAACATTTGAACTATTGAGTTGAGACTTTTGGATTATAATGCAAAAAGCCCAATTGATTTGTCCGACCATGAAATGCTGCAAAAATGTTGCCAAATTCTCTGCTTTATCTTCTTCACACAAGATTATTCATTATTTTATTTTATTTTATTTTTCTGGCGAGCCAAACAAAACAGCTCATTACTTCATCTCTCTTTGTATAACAAAAACATCTCTCTTCGTTATCACAGAGGTCGTGCATGCCTCAAAGGAAGTAAAGACATCTCTCTTCGTTATCACAGAGGTCTTGGAACAACAATTGAACTCAACCGACTTGAAAAAAAAAATGGAAGGTAATGAACATCAAAATTGTGCCTGCCAGATGACCGGTGCACCTATATATACAAAACTTCGATCCGAATTAAATTAATAAGATTTCCAGCAATTCTAATGCACAAGACCAATCCGGTCAGCACATTATGTTGTGCTAGTCTTCACCTTTGCAGTTCACAAGAGTATTTACACGAACTTTGAGACTCAGAAAGAACTTCTTCATGGTGCCTCCCCATCCAGAGTAAATTAAATTTGGAATTTCCCCATAACTAATGAAGACGCGAACAATACTAACATTCAGAACTTGATTCCTTGTAATTTATTATTATTATTATTTTCATTTCACTCTCACAATTAAAGAGCAAAAAGAAAAGAGAATAAAAAATGGTAACTAGAGGGCAGTTTAGTGGTTTCAACTTCCAACGCCTCTCTTTTACCAAGAGGACAAAAAGAAAAAAGGAAAAAAAAGGGCTTCTAACACATGACTAGATTTGGTGATTTGGTCCAAGCCTGAACTACTTGAAACACCACATTAAACAGGAACAAAGCTTACAGAATAAACTCTCCTAGAGGGGACTGACATTCAAAAAGGATGGGGTGGAATGCATGGTTTCTCGTTTCTGGTTGTGGTAAACTCTTCAGGTAGCCCACAGAGTAAAATATATTCAAAGGTGATTTATCATTTCCATATTCCAACAAAAAGAAAATGCAAAAACAGATACTGTTAGCAGTTCCTATTTTGAGACAAATTTTTTCTCAATGAGGCATGTTTACACGCAAAAAGAGAGATTTATTGAATCAAGGAGCATAGAAACTAGTAACACTAGCCTGTGAGAGCAGAATTTAGAGCGCTGTGCACGTCCACTCCAATTTGGGCTTCAGCTTTCTCCAACTCAGAGGAGGCCGAGCTTAGCTTCTGGGTGAACTCCGCCAGCCCCTTTTGGACGAGGCTTGGATCAATTTGATCGACTGGCACAGCCTCAATGGCAATTATATCTGCAAAAGAGTTCGTGTGGATGAAAGCGAACCCGCTGCTAACAAAATACTTGGTCACCTCATTCCCGTCATGCACTGACAGGACCCCAGGTTTCAGCTCCGCAATTGACGCCACATGCCCAGGAAGAACACCCATCTGCCCAGTTGAGGCCGGAATTATGACCATGTCAACCTGTAAGACAGATGATGACCATTCAGTCTTCCCATTGACTGATGTTACCTTTTAATAAGACTAGTTCACTGGATTTTGGATTCTAAAATAAGCAAAGCAACAATTTCTTCCATCACCAAAGTGCCTTTGGCCTAATGGTATAACATCCCAATCCTCAAAGAAAAGGGGAGGGTTTTGAGCCCGGGCATCAAAATAAGATTATACCATTTCACCTTCCATGACACATACAATGCGTAAATATTGTTTCCTTATGGTATTTGAGATGTGGGTTTGCTTGACTTTTACTGGGATATATTTCAGGATTTAACTCTAAAAATAACAGCAGGGCAAAATGAAGATAGCAGAATTATGAGAAAATTTGGTTACTCTCAAATCTCCATATAGGGCAAGTGTCAAGTGACTGGAAATGTTTTACACAATCTCAAATTCTTAGTAATGCAAACAAATAAACTCAGATCCTGAGAAAGACCATGACAAATGATAAGTTCCTAGACATGACATCGAAAGTACTAATAAATGAGTAAAAGTAGCAACCAGCATCCTAGCGAGAGATCTTGGCAACTAAAAACATGTTCATTGTTGTAATGACCCACTCCATCACATAATATGATATTATCCGCTTTGGGCCTCAGCCTGCACGGTTTTGCTCTTGGGCTTCACCCCAAAAGGCCTCATAACAATTAGATTGACACACCTACATATAAGCACTTCACATTTTCCCTTACCCAGGTGATGTGGGATTATGCACCCGTAACTCACCAGTATGGTAACCTTTCAGTGTCTCGCACCCGCCCAAGGCATACCCGCCCACGGGGTCATCACAATCCACCTCCCTTGGAGGCCCGACGTCCCCGTCGGCATACTTCATTTTGGGTCAGACTCTGATACCATTTGTAACGACCCACTCCACCACATGATATGATATTGCCCGCAGCCAGCACGGTTTTGCTCTTGGGTTTCACCCCAAAAGGCTTCATCCCAATTAGAGTGACATATCTACATATAAGCACTTCACCTTTTCCCTTACCCAGGCGATGTAGGATTGTGCGCCCGTAACTCGCCAGTGTGATAACCTGTCAGTGTCTCACACCCGCCCATGGCACACCCGCCCACAAGGTCATCACAATCCACTCCCCTTGGAGGCCCGACGTCCCCGTCGGCACACTTCCGGCTGGGTCAGGCTCTGATACCATTTATAACGACCCACTCCACCACATGATATGATATTGTCCGCTTTGGGCCTCAACCCGCAGAGTTTTACTCTTGAACTTCACCCCAAAAGGCCTCATACCAATTAGAGTGACACACCTACATATAAGCACTTCACCTTTTCCCTTGCGCAAGCGATGTGGGATTGTGCACCCGTAACTCGCCAGTGTGGTAACCTGTCAGTGTCTCGCACCCGCCTACGGCACACTCGCCCACAGGGTCATCACAAATGTGGCATTGCTGCTGACTAAGAAAACTATCGATAAGTATTGACTAATCAAGATGATAGTAACATGCATGAAAGCTCTTCAAGAAACAAGAATTTATAATTGGAATCTGCAGATTCTGTAGAGGGGTTAAAACATTCCATTCCGTCCTCAATTGATGCAACACAAATGTTTAAATCAAATCATCAACAATCAGAAAGTTGACAAACAATAGTTTGGTCATTAAGAAAATTAAATTTAAAAATACTCAAAAAGCAATGAAAAAGATGATGTATTTCTAACCAAAGGTTGTAGCCTAGGGGTAATTCCTCACCTTCCAAAGTAGAAGGTCAAGGGTTCAAGTCCCCAAAGGGTAAAGTGGATGTCGAGTTTCAAATAGGAAGGGAAAAAAAAAAAAAAAAAAATGATAAAGTATTTTTATGGCATCTAATGTGAAACCCCCATTGCATGGCGCATCTTGTTTGTGTACTCTTTAATTAGTGTAAAATATACTTAATAGTCAAATTTCGAAGTTTATATTTTACGCAATAGGAATAAAAAAGCACCACCAACTGATACACACACACACACACACTACTATATGTATTTTATATTCAACAAAAAACTAATATACGTATTTTTTATTTGATGACATTGATCTTGGGAGAATTGAAGATTGTTAATGTATAAATTATGATACTACCTTATCAAACAACTCCTAAGGAATTCTAGATGGGATTACTAGATTCTCCTTCTTCACATATGTTACTATTTTTATGCGTTACTGAATATACACAACTTCATTTGATTGCTGAGATAATCTTATGTGATGACCCTAAAAATTTATAGAGAAAACTAAGTTTGAAGAAAACTCAACATCCAAAAGCAGATAAAAATACATGAAAAATTGGTAATCCCGTAACCAGTTACGGGTAGAATGAATTCAGAGTTGGAATTGTAGATTTCCAATCTGAAAACAAGAACATAGAACAGTTTTATAAGTATGAAACTTCATTTAGTAAAGAAAACTACAAAAAAGATTTCAGAAAACTGAAACTGAGAAAATTCGTTTGGTTGTGTTTCTGAAAAGAAATATTTCTATAATGTTGTTTTCAAACTTGGTTTTTTATTTGCTACACTTAATTGTATTTAAGCTAGCCATTACCAATACAGTTCTCATGAAGTGGTCACCAATATACGAGTCATATTTATTGTTACAAAATTGAAATTGTGCAACTATAGTAACATTAAATTTAAATTGAACAAAGATACAGTTTTGTCTCCCAGCGCCACATGCAATTCTAGTGGAACAAACATAAAATAAGTTAAGTTTTACATTGTCAAAATAAGACAGAAGAGATATATAAACTATTCACACAATAACTGCATTATAAAGCATTGACCATGTATGTTGTCCACATTGATCCCATAGATCGACCTATACAAGAAATCATTTGCATCGCACATTCATCAGATAATTTACCTGCATCTGTTTCTTATTAGTGCTAGCCTTCCAACACCAACAATATTAAGATTCTTTACTTCATACTCCACAAAAGACAATCTCCTTGTGCATATTAACGGATGAAACTGTGAATAGTGCAACAAGCATATACTATGAGTCGTTGTTGAGTCAATTTATAAGAAGGCACGAGTTTTAGAATGGGATAAAACTCTAAAGCAACATTACATTAGAAGGGATCACAAGTCATCTTAGCTTTGTTATTCTCTAATAAGCCCTCTTTTGTAACACAAACTTTGAAGAAATGTTTTTTCAAACTCACCTGCAAGACTATTTTTTTGGCATGTATTCTAATCTTTTTAAACTCAGGAAACTGAATCGTAAATGAGTCAAGCGACCCACTGGTGGAGGGTGAACAAGTAATTAGCAGATTTACCGACTCCACCTCCTAAAGAGACCCAATGTTTCTTTTGCTATTACCTAATAACCAGAGGGGTGCAATTAAACACCATGTAAAAATAAATAAGAGTAAATCAGAAAGGTATTGCAACTCAATATTTCTCTCCACAGTTATCAAATATTGGAATTTGGTTCATTAAAGTTCCAAACAATTCTTGCTTCCAGTAAGTCCAAAGTTCAGATACTGTCACACTGACAAGACAAGTTTCTGTGATTGCACTGATGGTAAAGAAACAATTACAGAAAATCATAAGCCTCTTTCACAGTATTATATAATATATTTAGAACTTCGAAATGCTAGAACAGAGCTGAAACGAACTAAAGTTCGCAGAATGCTTAATACCAAATCCCATTTTCCTGCACTTGAAGATTGTAATTGAAAAAATAAAATAAAATTCCGAAGATCATCAGCAACAAGTAATTTAAACAAAACCCAAAATGGGCAAAGTGCAAATGAACCAATCAAGATAATAACATGGAAACTAAAAAATTACAACAAAACCCAGATAAAACGAGATTTAATATATATGTGTGATATCAGAATAACAAATTTTCCCTGATAAGAGATATAAACAAAACCTAGATGAAATGAGATCCAAATGAAATCATAAACAGTGATACCACTTAATCGAAACCATACCCATCTCAAATAAGATCAATATCAAACGAGAAATTGATTTTATGTGACTGACCTCTTTGGAGGAGAGCTCAGAATTGTAGGGAAGAACAAAATTGACAGTGAGCTTGGAAGGGATCGAAGACGGAGCCGGAGGGCGAGGCGTCATGAAGGTGAGGGGGCTCCTGGGTGGTTCCATGTTGGGGATCACTTTCTTCCACGCCACCGAGAACGTCTCATCGGCCGCCATAGAAGCCGGGACGTCAGTGGAGAAAGGCCGAGCCCCGGTGGGGGCGGCGATGGTGGACCGAGAGAGGAGGCGAGTGGCGGCTTGGCGGAACATGGTTGGGGTGGGGGATCGCTCGGCTCGCAAGGTCGGAGAGGGGTTGCAAGGTTTGTGAGCTGCGGTGTTCTCTCTCTCTTCTTCTTTCTGTCTCTAGAGTACCTGGAAATGTTGTGTGGGTTGGGTTTTTGATCGCAGCTTCACTTTGCTAGTTGCCACTTGCCACGTGCAACATGGCATGATGATATGTCAATGTGCAACGTGGCAATTAGTGACATGGCACAAGCCTCAAATCAAACACCTCAACCTCTCCGTGTACTTAGGGATGACAACGGGGCGGGTTTGGAGCGGGTTTCTCTAAATCCCCCCGCCCCTTTTAATTTTTGTCAAGTCCATGCCCGCCCCGAGACCCGCGACGGGTTGGATTTTCATATCCAACCCCGCCCCGTTAGGAAATACTGTACCCCCGTGCCCGCCCCACTAACAAATTTTTTTCTCCCACTTTTTGGAACTTAAACTCCTGCTATTTAAATGTGCAAAGCCTAGGAATGACACAACATAAATAAAATTATGTATCCTAATAAAAAAATAAATAAATAACATGCACATAATATAATTCAGAGAACATAATAAACAAAAATAAAAGTTTAATACAACCAAATCACAAGAAGTTCTAAGCTCCAACTTTCACCATAACCAAAACAAAAGCAAATTTAATACCAAGTTTACATCCCAAATTAGGATTATAAGAGATGGGTAATTGGGTAAGCCGCTAAAATAACTTATTAATATATATATATATTAAATATAGTTATATGCGGGGCGGGGCGGGGCCCCTAGGATATGTATATTGAACCCTTACCCGCCCCGTGACCCTCGACGGGTACAAAATTTATATCCATGTCTGCCCCAACGGTATAACAAGTGTTCCCATATCCGTTATTAACGGGGAGGGACGGGGCGGGGCCCCGGCGGGGCGATAAAAATTGACATCCCTACGTGTACTAATCAAACCATGAAAGCCTCAACCAAGCAAACCCATACCACTCCCACTCCCCACAACCCCATTGCCGACCTCACCTGGTTCGCACTCGTCGCCGCCGCTGTCAAGCTCCTCCTCATCCCCGCCTACCGCAGCACAGACTTCAAGGTCCACCGCCTCTGGCTCGCCCTCACCCACACCCTCCCTCTCTCTCAATGGTACTCCAACGAAACCAGCCCTTGGACCCTCGATTACCCTCCTTTCTTCGCCTATTTCGAACGTTTTCTCTCTGTATTCGCTCGCTTGATCGACCCCATCATCGTCGACCTCCATAAGGGCCTCAATTAATCCTCCCCTTCCGTCATTATCTTCCAGAGAATCTCCGTAATTGTGTCCGATACTGTTCTGATTTATGAGGTTTATCGGCTGACCTGGAATTTGGAGTCCAGAAAGCGAATTTTGATCTGGGTTTTGATTGTTTGGTCGCCTGGACTCTTCATTGTTGACCATTTGCATTTTCAGTATAATGGGTTTCTATTGGGGATTTTGTTGCTTTCGCTGTCGTGGTTGGAGGAAGGAAAGGACTTGATGGGTGGGTTTGTTTTTGCGGTCTTGTTGTGTTTTAAGCACTTGTTTGCGGTGGCTGCGCCGGTTTACTTTGTTTATTTGTTGCGGCACTACTGTCGCGGAGGGGCGGCGAGGGGGTTCGGAAGGTTGGTGATGATGGGTGTAGGTGCAAAATTCCGCTCAACCAATAATGGTTGAGAAAAATCAAACAACTCACTCAAAAACAATAAGAATAAATAAGAATGGTGTATAGAAAAGCGTAGAATTGCTTGATCCCTTTATTGGAGGTTTAAGCCTCTATTTATATACAAAAGATTGTAAAATTATGGTAGGACTCGCGTTGCTTGTCTTCCAATTCTTTCTATATAAACATTCTTTACTAATAGAGTTATTTCCATCGTCTAATTTTCCATACATAGAACTTGCCTTGTACAGAACTTCCTATCTCAGAATTTTTCTTCTATGGTAAATCCTTCAACTGGTAGGACTTGTGCATTCTTGAATAACTGGGCTGAACATACTTTGATCCGGCTGGGCTTGAATAACGGACCGAATGTTAAATATTAACAAGTTGGGCTGATGACCTCTTGATTCGGCCTTAATGGAGGTTGGAAGACAAATAACAATGGTCTTGGGCTAAAAATACACTCAATTTGGGCTTGAGCATGACGGGCCTCATATGTCCTTGGTATGTAGATATGTGTAGTGATGGCGTGTACGCTTCTTATTAGAGGGGAGTTTTTTTCCCTCCACACTTTGCCCCAAATTTCATTTTTAATTGAGTGACAGCTCCCATTAAAGAGGGAATTGAAATCGGTTTTTTACTTTGCTTCAGAGACGGTTCGAGGACTTTCATTATAACTCCGTCGTACAAGATTCTACAAGAGTTACATTCGCCTTAGCTGCACTCCTGCGTTCTTCATTCCATCGCCTTGTCAGGTTAGTTTTTTTTTTCGCATCTTTCTCTTCAATCTTTCATTATGAGTACTCCATCTACTCCCGAACGTATAGACATTGGGGATTCTAAATCCACACCTTCATCTTCCCCCGTTTGCATTAGGGTTCCCCCTCCTAGGATTTTTACAGATCGTCTTTCGTTGAATCAATTAGGTACTTCCCCCCTTCCAGCCGAGACATCCACCTCATGCTCTGATAATGTTCTTACTCATGAAGAGAGGAAAGCAATCATCTCTATTCGCCGCATCAAGTTCTCTGTTGCTTCGGTAATGGAATAATTTGATATTCCTGAGGGAGTAGAAATTATTGAATATCCCGAATGTGCCGATTTTACTTCCGGCGAGGGAATTGAAGAGAGTGAGTTGCTTCTTTCGGTCGGGCATCTTTGCGCCCTCCGGTTCCCTCTTCACCCCTTCTATCATTTAGTTTTCAACAAGTTAGGTCTTGCCCCCCTTCAGGTAAATCCTAATTTCTTTCGCATCCTTTCGGCACTGTTGGTGCGCCAGAAATTAGAGGCTCTGGATTTGACCTTTGCCGACCATCTGCTTACTTATAATATATCTAAGCATGGGACCGAGCCTGGTCGCTTCTTTTTTACCTCTACCCTTCATCAGAGGATATGCACGAACCTTCCTTTATCTGAGAAAAAGTGGAAAGAAAGGATGGTTATAGTTAAAGGAAAATGGTTCGTGCCCCAATCAATTACGTTCCCCATCCCGCGCAAGTTCAGGAAGTTAGGTATAGAATACTTAACCTCCCTTCATACCAAGTGTTCTGGCTGTTTTCCTTGCCAAGTCTTAATGTTTCGCCATACTTATGAGTTTCTTGGTGTTTTTTCAGTTACATTCCTATCCTCCGCAGCTAGGAACAGACTTTCTTTTGTTGAGGAACGAGTCTGGAGTGACCCCTCGCCTATCGAGGACCTGCTAACTTCTTCAAACCTCAAGGATATTGCCTCCAGTGCTGTTGCTGCAGACCTCATGGATCTGTCTCTACCATCCTTTGATAGTTTCCCCATGACTGAGGAGGAGATACGGAGGGCTGAGGCTTTAAAAAAGAAAGCCGAAGATGCCCAACCCTTGGTCGTTATTAGGTCTACTGAGGGTGAGGTGAAGGCTGAGGAACCACCAATGAAGAAATCTCGCCTCAACCCCCCATCCTCTGGCAAGGGCAAGGTCCCTTCTAAAAGCAGAGGGAAAAAGGCTGGAGAGGCCGAACCTGAAGATGAAGTCAGGGCATATGTTCTGGCTGAAACTGGGGCTCCTTGGACTCCTTCCTTCACCAGGGCTGACAAGTCAGTCCTGCATTCAGGGGATTCTGTGATCACAGACCCTTCAGCTGCACTGGCTGTAGCCCGAGGGATGTGGCTCCCAAAGGACAAGGAAGCCATCAGCCAAATGGGGTTGGAACAATTACTCCCCTCTGCCCCGGTCCGGGCCATAGAGGTTCGTATTGCTCCTTCAGAATTATGTTACTCTTACTTACTTATGTTTCCATTTATGCTCATATTTGTTCCTCTGTTATACAGATTCTATACCACACCATGGCCCTCTGCCCCACGCTGAAGCCCAATCCCTCTCCATCAAGAAGCTGGAGAAGGATCTTGACAATGCAGAGAAGAGAGCCACCACTGCCTCTACCAATCTGAAGATAGCTTCTGAAGCCAAGGATGTGTATAAGAGGCAGTTGGCTGCCTCTGAGGCTAAGGTGGATTCTCTTCAGGCCGAAATTCAACGCCTGACCGAGGCTCTTACTACTTGCTTCAAGGCGGGGAAGCAAATGCAGGGGCGCTACTCCTGTCTGGCACACCTGGCTAGTGCTAAAGCGTTCCGGTCTGGCTATAATCAGGGCTCAGGTGTGATACCCCCTAATTTTGGAACACAGGTTGATCAAGTCCGCGCACAAAATCAGGGAAATATCAAAACAATTAAAGTATTTCAAATAAGCACAGAGTACAAAAAATGAATAATAAGGAATAAATAATTCGCTGAAGAAAAATCTATTAAATAAAAATTGCATTAATAATTCTCCAAAAGTTACAACTCGGAAATCCCGTAAATCAAGGACCCCTGATAACATAAACTAATAATTCAACGATCTCTAAATAAAATCCAGTATCTAACAATTAGAAAATATCCTACATTGAAATAAGAAGAAAGAATGGATAAGTCCTTCAGCTGCGGATCCTCAACCTTGAGACTTGAACTTCTAATAACCTGAAAAATAAATCGCGGGTTAAACCTTACGAGCAAGTTCTCTCTACCAGACCTCTGAAAACCAATAAATAGATCATCTCTGATCAAAACCAAACCTAATAAAGTCTTTATCTTTAATGTACATAATTATATACAATATAATTATCACAACTATTACCAAGTTCATTAATTCCAAAACCATTATCAATGATTAACTAATAATCATACCTAGTCCAATCTACAATTTCTTTTAAAGAAACTCCTCTACCCTTGACCCCATCCTAGACCGCAATTTAATAATTTAAACCATAAAATATAATTAAAAGAACATTATATTAAATTCCAAAACCAATAATGATCTTAAGTATTTAACTCACACAGTCAATATCTAAACTTTAACAAATCATCCATGTCACTACCAGTATTATTTTATTAATATGTATAAAATAATATACCAACCTGTAGGTACTAGACTATTCTACTT